CAGGGGCCTCTGGCCTCAAGGACGGGCGCATCACGGCTTCACAGACAGGCCAACAGGTCGAGCAGGAAGACAGCAGCTGGAACCAGTTGCCAACTTGCTAGGGGGGCTTGGGCAAGCCACTCTGGCCATTCTGACCCACCTTACAAGGTTGTCATCATCAGTATGTGAAGAAACCACGGGATCAAACAAAAGGCCCATCTGATCCAACCAGATGTCTCCACAAAACCCACAAGCAGAGCACCAGCAACACCTTCAGCCAAGAGCAGTGGAAGGATATCAATATTTGAACAAAGGCGTCAAAAGAAAGAGGTATCCTGCCTCTGAACATGGAGCTTCTGTTTAGCCATCTTAGCGAACAGTAGTAGAGAGAGCTAGTGGTGGACATACCTGCTGCTCCCTGTGAATTTGCCTAATCCTCTTAGTGGCACTGAAAATACCAATGCTGCGGATCACTAAGAGAACACATTCACACAGCCCTTGGGAAGCATTCGGAGCAATCCCATCTTCAGATTCTCAACTGAACACTTGCCTTCTGCATTTGCGATACTGCCAGTTCCAAGTTTTCTCTCTGTATTTCAAAAATGTTGCATCACATGTAAAAAAAAGCAGACAACAAAAGCTTTTCTTATTTGGGTGGAGGTCCCCTGGGAGAGTGTTGGGTTTTAGCAACTTAAAACACTTCAGTAATTATAGAGTTAACTTTGTTTGTTTTGGTCAACAGGAAGTCACATGTTTATTGTATCCAATCTGTTTACTAAGTGAGAAAAGCCAACAAATCTTGTAGGAGGTTTTAGTAAAATTACCTGACCTTGTGATCTGGCTATTTAGCATATTGGGGTCTCTTTCCTCCCTTTCTCTTTGCTTGGAGAAGGAGACACCATTCCTGAAGTATCTTTCTAGCAGTAAACATGTAGGAACCGAGTGTTTCTTATTTTCCATCCCGTTTACCTTTTCCCCATGTTAGTTCTAATAAAGCTTCTGTTTTTTTCAAACACCACATGATCTCAGACTCTCGTTCATGGCTCTGCTGATTCAATCTCTGTTTAAGAATTATTTTTATAAGGATACCTATCAGAGAGGGGTTTTAAGAGTAGGTGAGAGAGGACGAGGAGAAAGAAACAATGGAGCCTGCTTGAAGTGGTCCTGAACAAGGAAGACTGGCTGGTTATTTCAAGAGCGTGGAAGTGGTTTACTTCAGGAAGAAAGTAATCACCATGCAAAGCGGGCACCCTGTGAGAGCTGTGGAAGTCCTGGGTCCGGGCCACCGGGTGCAAGATCCAGGACAAACCACCCAGTCCCTCCATCCTGCTGAGAGAGCAGCCTGTGCTTCCGGCTCCCAGGGCTGGCCTGAGGGTGCCTGTACACACCCCACATTCAATACAGAGAAGAAGGAAGCCAACCACGGACTTTTACTTCCATGGCATTCCGAAGGAACAGTGTAACATTCAAACACATAGGCTTGTTGACCCTTGAACTCTTTTGGGAATCCAAACACACTTTATACAACACAGGAAAACTTCCCAGTAGCTGAACCTTTTAAGTTGTAGAGTAGGAGTGTCAAACCTAGGGCCTGCAAGATGGAACCCTCCCCTGCAGGGCTCCTCTCAGGCCTGCGAGCAACTGGCTCTCCTCTGCTTCCTGCATCACAGCTCACTTTTGGCCAGCTCTCTCCTGCTTCCTGCTTCGCAGAGGAAAGATTGGCCATGCAGTCCCATGCAGTGTTCCCTCTAAGCTGAGTTAGTGTGAGCTAGCTCACATTTTTTTAGCCTCTGGCTCACGCATTTTTGTCTCAGCTCAGGAAGGAGGGCTCCAGAACAAACTAATTTGTGCAGCAACCAAATTGCTCACTCACAACTTTAATGCCAGTAGCTCACAAAGTAGAATTTTTGTTCACAAGACTCCATGGCTTAGAGGGAGCCTTGGTCCCGTGGCACCCTTAAGACCAACAAAGTTTTATTCCAGGTATAAACTTTCATGTGCACACTTCTTCAGAGAAGGGGAAGGAGGGGGACTGAATGATCCAGAGGGGGGGGGGAAATCCCCCTTTCCAGTTCTAACAGACAGGGGGAAAAGAAACCTAACAGCACAGCCTGCAATTTTTATTAGTGGAAGGGAGCAAGAGTCCAGTAGGGAGGCAGGGAGGGAGAAGAGAGTCCCACAGCACCTTTACAACCAACAGTTTCATTCCAGGTATAAGCTTTTGTGTGCACACACACGTCTTTGGGGGGGGGGGGCCAGAGAGAAAGAGAGAGAAAGACAGATCCCCCATTCCAGTTCTTACAGATGGGGGGGGGGGAAGAAACCTAACAGCACACCTTGTAATCTTTATTAGTAGAAGGCAGTAGTAGAGTCCAGTAGCACCTTAACGAGTAACAAGAATTGTTGCAGGGTATCAGCTTTCATGAATCATGGCTCACTTCTTCAGATATACCTGGAATGTGGGTCCATCTGTTCTTATAACTTGGTGAAGTGATTTCAGAGGCCAAATGACAACAGTAGGCATTGGTAAGGAGAGAGAAAACCTAGGTCTCAATTCAGTCCAGGAGGATGCATTGTCTTGAGCTTCATTATCAATTGCAAGTCAGCTGTCTTTCTAATCTCCCTTTCAAATTCCTTTGTAAGAGAACTGTTGCTCCTAAGTTAGCAACTGAATGTTAAAATGTCCCCCCACTGTTTTTTGAATGGTGTGGTTTCTGAGAGCAGTAGAAAGAGTCCAGTAGCACCTTAAAAACTAACAAAACTTGTGGTCGGGTATGAGCATTTGTGAGTCAGTTCTCACTTCTTTATTCTTTGCATCCTCCTGGAGTGAATCCTCCTGGACCAAACTGAGGCTTAGGTTCCCTGTCTCATTACCAATGCTGATACCTCCATGCCTACTCCTCCTCTGCACATCACACCTAATCCAAGCAAGCCTGCTGTTGCCATTCAGCCTCTGAAATCATCTTGATGAGGTTTATGCCTCCAGTACCTCATGTTACATGTTATGGCAGAGGTAGCCTGGGGGACAAAGGGACATTTATTTGCCACCCTCTTCCCCAACCCGATTGGGCGCGGGGTCCCCCGGAGACCATGTGGGTGGGTTGGGGGGGGAGGGGCGTCTTTCTGCATACCCCACATACAGGAGGGCCCTTTCTTCTGCCTCAGCTCCACGGGACCCTCTAGATGGGCGGCAGGGAGTGGTCCTGGCGGTCTCTTCCTTCCTTCCTTGACTTCCGGGGGGGGGCAAAGCAGCGGGCGTGGTGGTGGTAGTTCTCCTCGCCTCCATTTCCTGCTCGCCACAGCCCGGGGAGGAGGAGGAGGTGAAGGGAGCGCCCCTGGCCCGAGGCCTCCCCACCCCCCCCCCATCCAAGCCTGCACCGCGCCGGCCCTCGACGGGGCGAGCGCCCTGCTGGGCTGCTGCTTCGCGCCGGCCCTGCGGGAGCCGGGGCTCCCCCAACTCCGAGCCCCGCAGGCGAGGACCACCGGCCACGCCCTCCTCCTCCTCCTCCGGCCCGCCCTCCCCCTTCCCGAGGAATCCCCGCCCCCGCCGCCGCCGCGAAGGTCGCTGGCTGCCCAGGTCCGCCGGGCCTCGCTGCCCTCTTCCTTCCAGGCCACACCCCCGG